TCAACTTAAATCTCTAAATTACTGTACGGTTCAAGAAATCTTGGAGGGGGGGGGGCATAGGGCAAGGAAGAGGAAGGAAAGATCGCGTTCGGTTCATGGCCCGTTTGTTAAGGTACTGCTCCGGCATTTGTCTGGTATTGATCGGAGAAATCACAGGAAACTACCGATCAGAGCAGCCGGCAGCTCGAATTTCTCCTCCAGACACCGATTGACCTCGACCTAGCTATGTAGCTGGCATGTGAAGCCCTTCCTCTCACAAATGCAATTAAGTGTACAATTAGCTAGAAATATAAATATTAATTGCATGAGAGATATTTGAGAGATGCTTTATAATTATTTTTATCAATTAAGATAATGTGCACAATGCTTTCAGTCAAATAGTTATAAAATATCTGAAAAGTTAAATAAAAATGTCCCATTGTGCTAGTAAATCAACATGGTCTCTTCTCTAACTAAATGGAATTATTATTTTTATTATTATTATCATTATTATTATTATTATTATTATTATTATTATTATTATTATTATTATTATTATCATTATCATCATTATTATGATAATTATTATAATATTAGAACAATACATATCAATTTTGTTAGCAACTACATAAAATTTAACAATATTAGTACATTCTATATTTAAAACTTGAAATGGTGAGGAGGCAAGTTTTGACCAGTTTTTTTTTTTCTTTTTTCTTCTTTCAATTTGTAGACGTAGACCTACTGCAGCACCTAATGCATCTAGCGAATCCAGAGAGAAACTTTGTCAGGCATTCTCCTTCTACTTCACAGGATGCGATATGCCAGTTCTTTTTTCTTTGTTTCAGCTTGAAAAAGGTAACATGAAACAGAAACTCTAATGGGATAGGAAATTCTTATTTATTTATATTTTTTAAGGGAAATGTTGTAATTTCAATATTCCTTCACACTGTAGAACATGTTGTTAAACAGGAAAGCTTTCAATTTACTTTTAAATGTATGAATTATGTTTATGTCTTTGATATCATTGCCTAGTTTGTTGTAAAGTGTAATGCCCTCTATTAAGGTACTTTTTTGATAAAGTGTAGGGAACATGTAGGTTATCCTTTTGACGGGTGTTGTAGTTGTGTACATCAGAATTTAAAGTAAAAGTGCCTTTGTTTTCCATGAGAATTTTCTTTGTGAAGACCACTATTTCAAATATATACATGCATGGTAGAGGAATAATCCTTAGTTTATTAAACAAGGATTTGCAAGATTCCAGCTTATGAGTGCTGGTCATTCGCAATATTATTTTTTGGATAATAAATGTACAAGTGGTTTCAGGAGCATTTCCCCAGAATATTATTTCAGGGGAAATATAACATCAAAATCAGGTAACCTCATATAACAGCTGAGAAGTTACAAAGTCTGCCAACACACAAAAGTAATTAATTATAGTCTGCCAATTCACAAAACTTTCAAAATTTAGAAAATCACACTTTTCTGCTATAAGAGAGAGCTTTGGAGAAATGATATTAAGATAATATATAAAAAATTCCCTTAACCACTAGATTACTGTGTTATGTACAAAATTACATTGTATCAAATTGAGTTATGAAGATTGCTAATAAAAGCGATGAAATACTTCTCACAGAAACTCGCTTCTCTCATAATCACTGTTTTCATGTACATACTACATACATGTTTACTTGAGCATAAGACTTATTCATATATGCTTTTTTATATTTGTTTACATTAACTATTAAAAAATGAATTCCTTTCCTTGACCCATTCCCCAAACAATCGCCCAAACCATTCAAGTGATTAACAACACCCATAACGCACTTTTCAGTTTCAAGAACTTCAAAACCATCCTGTGTTTCCACTTCCTCTTCTGCTTCTATATCTGCCCAGTGAACTTCTGTCAGTCTACTATCCCATGAAGTTCCCTCTGGTATACCTTCAGGAAATGAGATTTTCTCCAAATGACATTCCAAGGGATTCTAAAATTGAAAATAATTTTTCTTTGTATTATTTATAAAATATTCAATGAATAATAACTACATAAACTAATTTTACCTTCTCCACTTTAACAGGTTTTCTTGAAAGAAATGTAGCCGTTATTTCTTTTGAGGAGTTAGGCTTTACGTGACCTATATTTGGAACAAATTTAACGTATTTGTCCTCATTAAACTGAAATCTAAATATACTCTTCTGGGAATGGTTGAAAATTTTAAATGCAATATGTTTTGGTGAGTCTGCAAAACAATTTCCAAATGTCAATGTGTTCTGATACACTTTGTCTTCATCTTCATCATCACGTGATCCAGGAACGACAATAGACGGTAACTCCAATGTAATATCTTCGGTATAACATTCTCCCACAAGATTTACAACTATCTTCTCATAAGGATTACCATCAATTGAAATGTTTATTGGTCCAGAAAATTTTCCAATACCGGTAGGCATAAATGTAACTTCAAATGTTGCGACAAGTTCAGAAGTAAGAAGCAAATATAAAGAATTGATATCTGCAGAGAGAAAAAAATGTAAGCAGTATTCATCATAATAATAGTGATGCAACAGAATGGCAAACTTTCTCATACTAGTTAGTTTACTAATATCTAACTTTTCAGTAGTGCCACAACCTCTTCTTAGGTGGTAAATATCACCTCTTAAAAGTAATTTTTTCACATTTTCTCAATTTTTCGACCTATTTGAAACACTTTTACTCATAAATGCAATTATGCAAAAAAAAAACATATAAATCCGAAATGAAAGGCAATGTACATGAGTTGCCCATTGTACATGAATGTTATATATGTACACTTCGGCAATTAACATTTTTCATAAAATCTCTGATTTTCCGAAAATTGGGAAAGTTCAAAACTTTTTGGGGTTTTCCTCCATCTACAAAATTGAAGATGGTGATTTTACTTTGTTGTAAGTAAATGCGGAGTAATATCCTTAGTAGAATAAAAGTTATGTAATGCTGTGGAAAATTGAGTTCGAGATTTCAATGGAAATACACGTTTTGGGGTCCCCTGATACTGAAGAAGTATTTGTTTTTTAACGTCCGTCCGTCAAGCTGTCTGAGTCCATGTCCATTGTCATGGTCTATCTGTGGACAACTCTAGCGCCTAAACGATTTGCAGGATGTTTTCCAAAATGAATATTTCTCAATCGATCTGGCCCGACTCGAAGCTCTGCGTTTTTGTTGTTGTTGTTTTTTTGGTTTTTTTTTTTTTTTTTCCAAAAAAAATTCTTTATATTTTGTCACATTTGTGAATACAATTGCTTCCAATAATTTCTTATGATTTTTCTCGAAAACTCAAACGTTTTCGGGGAAAATGAGCTTCAAAATGCGCATTTTCAGAAATACTTACGATATATTCTCCCAAATGGCTCTAAATCTTTCAACGAAAATTTGCATACAAGGCCAGGTTTTAAACTTCTGTAGTATTCTTAAAGTCTTACTTTCAACTATATCATTAGAGGACTGAAAAATTGAAATTTTTTTTCTTTAGACACCACTTGAGATGAGGTTGAGGTTAATCTGAAAAGAAAGCCCAGACTAAAGAAATAAGAAAACTAACTAGTACGATAAAGTTTGTTCCATTCTCTAACATCACCAGTTACTTTCTTGTATATGTTTTTCTCAAAATGGCTCTAAATTTTTATCTATCAACATTTTGGAGGCATAGTGCTAAATACACTGCAACAGATGACATGAACATCATTTCTCTGAATCCTTTTTATTTTTTAAAAATATACAAATGTATTTTTTACATCTCTTACACGTTAATATTAACATTACCGGCAATTTAGAAACATTATTGCATTTGTGAGTATAAGTGCTTTAAATGATGTCTTTCTTGAAAACACAAAAGTTTTCAGTGAAAATATCTCAAAATTATAAACGTTTCAGAAACGTTTAAATACCATTTTCTCGGAAACGGCTCCAATTTTTTCCTTTGATATTTTGTTTGGATAGAGCTAATGCATTGAATAATACAAAATAAATGCAACTGTGGTGTATTCTTGTTGTTTGTTTGTTTTTTTCAAAAATTAGTGAAATGTATAAGTATTTATTTAAATATTTCTCAAGTTAGTACTTACATTAGAGGCACTTATTATCAGATTTATTAGTACAATATCTGTAAATACTTTGTTAAGACTTATCTCAAAAGTTTTGAGTGAACCAGAGTTAAAGGTACGCATTTTCAGAAATGCAATACATTTGCAAAAGTTAAAAATAATGCGAGAACGTATGTGCTAGTTTATTTAATGAAATATTTCCTTTCGAATTAGATCTTTAAATAATGTCATGTACATTTTTTTAAACATATGAGTAATTTCCCGTAATTTTTGAATCGAAATAGCAAACACGAATTTCCCACGCTGCACTTGCTAGAGACTTCAAGAGACATCACATCGTAAAACGATAATGGCACGATCAGTTTGAAATTCGGAGAATTCCACAATTTCTTCTTATTGTTGGATAAAGTATGATGCTGTCTATGAAAAACAGTTTTTTATTGTCTAATTAGTGTTTATATATAAACTTCAAAAAAGTTAAGTTTTCGCACCTAATGCTCTACAATTTGTAATGAGTCTTATAAATGATATCTGAGATGTGTTTATATGGACAAAAACTGCTTTATTGTAGGCTTATATCACGTAACCATTACAAATGCAAGAGAGCATGTGCGGTTACTAAAGCGTGAGTGATTGAACCAATAGTTTACATCTTTCAGGATTTTGTTAATCTTTTAAGCAGATATTATGAGCATACAGTAACTGTCATGTGGTCATCATTTTATCTTTGATTTATCTGAAGTTAGAAGTGGCTAAGGATATCGTTAATACTAATTTTGTATTTACAGTATTTTGTATTTTGTATTCTAAGTAAAAATATTCATAGGAATATAATAAAGAATTTTTAACTTATTGGTAAGCATATAAAAATTCTGAATAATTTCTTAAAAGTCTGCATTTCTATAGTTTTTAAAATGTTTGTGGCATTACATTTAAACTTTCCTGTTAAGCAAGAGAGATGAAACTTTGTACACTCGCTATTGGAATCAAACAAATTGGTATATTCCTAGGAAGCGATGTTACTGAAAAAAATATTTTGAGACCAACTGAGATCCTAATACCAGGAACCATGTTCGGTAAATAAATAAGTAAATAATATTAAAATTACCTTCAGGGCTTTCATTTATTATCAGAGGTAGTGTTTTCTCATTTCCGATTATTCCGAACATGGATTTGTCCATTTCATTTAAATCTAATCTCACCTGAAATAATTTAAACATTTAAATATCATAAAAATAATTCAAACATTTATCAAAATTCAGGTGTGAATCAAGATCCCAAGATTTCAAGAACAAATGAAAGCAGACTATTTAAAACAATTAATGATGGCTGAAGAGAGAAGCCAATTTGAAAAGTCACACTCTACACATTGAAGCAAAGTTCATTTAATGTCAGTCTAATCAAATTAAATAGGGTGATGCACAATGTGATGACAAAATTTACATTGCTGGGACACTCCATTTTCTTTGGTTTTGTTTATTTGTTTTTTCCTGAATATATGAGATGTGAGTACGTAGTTTAATTTGCAATAAAAAGGAACTATTCTTGAATTTGTGTTTCTGACAATCTGAGCAGGTGACTAATTGATTTATTTTTAAGATAACAAGTAAAAAGGTTATTTGAAATATTCAGTTCCTCTGTGCATTATTGTTAAAACAACTAATAGATTCATGAATCCTGTTTGTGAAGTGAATGAATGTACAAAATGTACCGTAATTATTTTCATATTCAAAGTTTTGAGATGAGGTAACAAACAACGCAATTCACTGTGCTCCGCACCCAATGTTTCTTTCTTTTACTGTTCTTCAGAATAAGTAAATGTAGTTCTTAGTTTGGATTAAAACTGACTTGAGTTGAATCTACTTCTAATATGCATTCATGAGGCATTTCAAAATTGAGTTTACTCATAGGCCCAACATGATTAGGAAAATTGATATAATTTAAAGTAACAAAATACTTCCTTACATAACATGAAATTGATCCAGTATTTTTAAGTTTTAATTTCTGGGTAGATTTTTTGCCAAGGAGTGTGGGAAAAAAAATTAAATCACTACTTTCAGAAGATGCATATTGCTGGGGCTCAATAATAGTTACAATAGGCACACAACCTTCACCAGCCAATTGCAAAACAAATTTACATTCCTTCTGAGTAGATGATTCTAGATTCATCTCTACGATGCCATTGAAGATCTGAAAAGAAACTTTATTTAAATCAAATTTTCTATTTTGTTACCTATGCAAAATTTGTTAATTAGAAGGGATGCAAACCCCAATTTGTGGAGGTAGAAATGTAACTTCCAAGAACTCAGTGCTGTATGGAGCTATACAAAGTTTAGTAGGCTTCACAGTAAATGCTGGTTCTGAAGATTTTGAACTGGATGACACAAGAGCCTTTGCGGAGGGTGATGGTGTCTGCCGAGTTTGTGAATTCAATTCACAGGGTATTAACCCAGGATTGTACAGCTTCAAACGAGCCACATTGGGTGTTCCCAAACAGGTATTTGCGAACAAAAATTTATTTTCACTTTTTATAAATATATTGTGGTTATGAATCTGTAACAGAAAAAAATTCAAAGAATTATTTTAAATAGGGTAAACCATTGTCCCCCAGGCCACCTTCTTCCTCAAGCTAGCAGTGGTTTAAAAAAAACTGACAGAGAAAGAACATGTATTTTGAGTGTGATATTGTGGCAACACTGTCACTTTTATTTATGACTTGTTTATCTGGATTTACATTTATTCTGAAAGCAGTTATTTCACTAAATTTACTTTGTGATGTCAGAAGTAAAGTTTTTTGCTTAGTATTATTAACTTAAAGAAACCAATTCAATGATATTGTTATCTACATGAATAGATTTTTATAAGGAACACAGTCATTACACCTGGAGCCACTTTATTACCTTGTACCATAGGCCACTCGTTTACTAAAAAAATAACAAACACTGATACTCCAGAGAAAAACGAAATGCAAGCTCAATTATTCAGAAAAACAAAATCATGCCAAAGTTAATCCCAAGAGTGCGCCTAAATAAAAATAAAAGGAATGCAAAAGAAGAAAAAAAGGACATTGAAGAAAAGTTATGATGGACAGACTCAATGTTTTATAGAAAATTTATATGATTCCCAATATTTTTGATTCCACTCTTCATTTTTCTTATTCCTTGTCTATAATAAAGTGGATAGTCCGAGATACAAGGTTAGGTGGTTGCAGATCCAGATACCTTTGAACCATGGTCCACTTGCAAATATTTTATTAGAAATTTTGCAGTTAAATATAGAATGGAAAATTAAATTTTTCCTTAGATCCTAAAATAATGCAGATTTCCTACAAAAGAATTGAAAAATATGCCAATAATAAAAAGATTTAAGAATATTGGTTTAGAAGTGAGTTGTCGTTGGCATTTAATATGAAAATTCCTCCTACACCCTACAACCTGCTACTTAAGACACTAGGCTCACCCAAACCTATGTAATCGCTTTGTGGCTTCCAAACACAGGAAACTGATAATAATGGCTAAGCCATCTAAAGATGCTCTTATAATAAATAATAATGTTGGCAATGATTATATTTATGCCTATAATTATTTCAAAAGATTTAAGACTGTGTACAATTATGTCCCTACATTTAAAATAATACCAATTTTATGCATACATCACAAGGGCAGTCCATATCCTCAAGTGTTTCACACACATAATGTTCTTCAAAAATTGAAGCCAGAGAAGTAAAATCAATAAATGGAGCACGTGCTACAGCTACTAGTTCAATGATATCTGGTAATGGATTATCCATATTTTTGTCTGGAATGTCAATGGAAATCATCTGTAAAGATAAGACATAACGAACATTATTCAACAATTTCATTTATATTTCTATTAAGTATAGTTGTAGCCTAGCGTATTTGTGTAACAATTAAATATTTTGGTACAGTAATATATTTATTATTTGTAAAATTACTCTCATGAGTAATAATTATATCATAATTTTCTTGCAATCGAATAAGAGAGAACAAACGCCTGAAATGCGGGTCTGGTGTATCTGCATTGTCATTTCAGAGGCTTAATGCTTCAGCATAGGTGAAGACAAACCATTGCTCATGAGCGACAAGCTGCGGAGTGCAGAGGGGAGTGTGGTCCCATGATGTCAGTCAACATCTCAAAATCCTGGGAAGTGTATAATGCCCCAGAACAAAAAGCAAACGTTTGACCTTCAGATTGGAAATCACACATGCTGCATGCGTAACTGAACCTACTGCAAATTAAAATTAGGTGTAGCATGCTATGGTACATGTGGCGTGTGCGGCTGGCTGATGACAAGATTCCGAAGGGCAGAAGTGAATAAAGATCATGAACTAGTGCTTCTTGTAGAATGTTGTTGAAGTGTAAAACCTCGTCCTGTATGGAAATTTTCGTTGAAAACTTTGGAGCTGTTTTCAAGAAAATATTGTTTAAGAGTTACTGTAAATGTGAAATTTGAAGTTCTTTTCACAGCAATCTTTTTAATTTTAGAAGTGCTTTATTGGAAGTCATTTGAAGCACTTACACTCACAAATGCAGTAATGTATTCAAATCACTGGAAATGTGTATATAAAAAGCGTGAGAGATATTAAAAAAATAAATTTGTGTAATTTTTGAAAGAAAAAAACAACAAAAGAAAACAGCAAAATGTCTTTTATGTCATCTTAAACAGTGACACTAGCACTACCTGTATGACAAGTTTGAAGAAAAAATTTGGAGCCGTTTTTGTAAATACTATAAACCAAACTAATCACCGCTAATGAAAATATTAACTGCATGAGAAACAAGTATAAAATCTATTTTTTTGTAATCTTGGGGGGAAAACAAAAGAATGGAACAGAATGACATTTATGTCATCTTATAGAATGCACTTAGCACTATCAAAATTATGAAACAAAAACCTGCAGCCATTCAAGAAAATCTTGTTTTTGTTATTTTTTTAAATATTGCACATATTGCATGCAATATGGCGTGAAAACTACTAAAATTTTCTAAACAATGTAGAAAAAATTGAGAAAAAATGTTACTTGAAGGAACAATCTCTTCCATCTTCAATTTTGTAATACGATTAGGCCAAAAAAGTTTCAAACTTTTGAAATTTTCAAAAATTCAAAGTTGACAGTGAAAAACATTCATAAGTAAGTTTTGCTCTATTCTTTCAAAACATTTGGAGCTATTTTTGAAATGTTGCAGGAGTTTCATGTAAAGTACCTCCAATTTTCAAAGGATTTGAAAATTGAAAATTGTTATCGATACAATTAATGCCCTGAAATGAACCCAGCATATTCATGATTACGCTATTAGGTAGTTCATAGACTATCATAGACATGTGCAGCATAAAACAAGAGGAGACAACTACATTTCTGCTTCCCCCCTTATCCATTCATCTTTTTTACGTGCATATGACATTTGACTTGAACAACAATTTTCTGTCTCTTCTCTGAATTCTTCAAATATTGTTAACATTTTGGGACAGTTGTACGAGTTAACACTGACTTGTAACTTGACTCTATAAAAATATTTTGTCAGTTTATGTACACATTTATTTTAATTATCACAAAAGAGCAAGTCATCTAGTTAATAACTATTAAGTACAAGTGTTAACTGTAACAACTATGTAGAATGGGGATATGTTTCAAATTTTATATCCCTAGTGACTAGGCAATAAGACAATAATATACAGTGAAAAACTAAATACAACAACAATGTATTACAGATAGTCTAATGTGTCCATCAGTTTGTCATCATAAATTTTAAAATATATCGCTATGTTCTTTAGGTCATTTTTATTAGGGATTTAGCATTTTAATTTAAATTAAATGTTTTATTACAAAAGGCCAGAGAGACCCTTTCAAATTTTCCAGGGAGGTCATGTCCCTCATGTCCCTGCTGCTATGCACATGCCTCTGTGGAGCATATTACTTCTAATGTAATGAATTAACTGAAATAAAAACCTCATTGAATGATCCCTCCTGCTCCACATGACATTCTACTTCTATAGTGGTAGCTTCACCAGCAGTAACAGTACCCGATCTAGATAAAATTGTAAATTGGTCACACCGCATTATTGATGATTCATGCCTGAAACTGCACAACCAATTTGTCAAAATTGTTCCTAAAAGAAAAAACATTGCATTTGAAAACTGTCTACCAGTTAAAAAAGAAATACCTTCTTGTTTTCTTAATCAAAGAGGATCGTTCTTCTTTTTCACTTTTTCTATCAGCTCCTTTGCTACCATCAGGAGCAAATGACTGAAAGAAACAGATGTACTATTCCTATAACTGTGAAATTCACTAACTATTACAATTTACTTAAACAGATATGTTATTAAAAAATATTATTATATTAAAAATTAAGAAACACATTCTTATCAATATCAACATTTTAAGTGAATTATATATTTCTGTTAAATGAAGCTATCAGAATTTAAAGGGAAAACTTTCAATTCAAAAAGAGAAAAATTACCATTCTTAGTCACGAAAAAAGTTAAACATAAGTAGAGGTATAGTGGAAATGCACATAAAAATTGTTGTGGAAAAAGATAAAGATACTAGTTAATTCCATTTCTAATTATACTGTTTCATTGTGTTTTGTTTTTTTATTGTTTGTCGGTTTCCCAAAAAAATTAAGAACTGTACGGTGAAAGGAAAATATTCACATTCACCTACACACAAACCCAAGACTTGTAACAGTATTTGCTGAAAGTAATCTTCAATGATGAATTTATGCAAGTAATTCCCTTAAAAATCTTCTCACTAGTAATATGCTAATAAAAAATAGAAGATTAATCACTTTTGATGGGTTGGACATTGGGCTTACGTCACTAGCCATTTTCTCAACATCTTCATCAACAGACTTTCCAACTTTATTAACAGTGTATGTTATATCCCAAACTCCTATATTTTTAATTGTCAAAGGTAACACCTTTTTTATTCCTATTGGTATAACTCCAAAATTCATATCTGGTTTAGGTGAGATTTCGTACCTAAAACAAATAAGGTAAATCACACTATTCATTAGAATAAAATAAGGAATGGCCTACATATTATTCAATTGAATAAGGAAACTTTACTAAACCTGTATTAACCAAAACCTACACAATAATTATATTTTATATGTTATTTGCTTCAAAAACAAAATTGATTTTCAACATCAATTTATGACTATCTACCACATTATAATATGTATGTTAGAAAAATAGGCTCAAAACTTTTCAGTAAGAATTAAAATAAAAGCTTCATTTCATTCCATCATCTAAAAACATAAGCTTTAACAGTCATTTCTGCAATGTGAATTTTATAAAAATACTATATTGCCTGAGCATCTCTAAGAAACTGGATGAATTTTCAATCATTATTTGTTAATTTAGTAAGCTACTTACAATTCATGAATTTTACAATTATATTTTAATGTAAGTTTAAAATAGTAACATAGAACCAATCAGTGCATTTCTGAAATAGAATTGACAATGATGAATCTCAAATTATATTTTGTTTTTGATTGAGGAAAAAGGTTACCTGCACCATTGAGCTGAAATTGATACTTGAATTGGTATTGTAGCAACAATATTTTGTCCATCTAAAAGATAGCACTTGAAAATTGGAACTGCATATAAGTACACTTCAAATGTAGGTGTGCATATCACCTGCAAAAATATACACTGCTTTTAGGGGCTGTTCGGTCTCAAACATATTCAGGGATAGAATATTGATTTGCCATTAAACAGTTGAGTATATGACCGCTAACAATGAAAATTTCAGACAGCTACTACTGAAACATAATCAGGCTTTGGTAATAAATTAAAATTGGCCATTTTTAGACCAGAAAACTATTCAGAAAGAATTCAGGGAACTATTCAGATAATCGCCCATTGCATTTTACATTACGAATTTAATTTCTGTTGCCCAAGAATTTTGAGAACATTAGGAAAATGTTTTTAATTGTGACCACTATTGGTGTTTTCACTCATTTTCCTGAAGGGATCTGTGTCAACAATAATGTGAAGATATTAATCTTCACATAATTACTAATTAAAATTAAGTCTCTCAGATGTACTACAATGAAATTGGGCTAGCTTACTTCAGGGTTGTAAGGCTATCAGTAATGATCTGTGAAGATTTAAAATATGTTGTTTTATTCCGTGTAACTGTTGGACTCTAGTAACGAAAAAATCATTAAATAGCATTATCAATATTTTTTGTTCTTCTTAATATTTATGTATTTTTAACTTACTTCCAAAGTTGAAGCCTTTTCATAAGGAGCCAAGACTCCATGAACTGGTCTCACATATATTACTTTTTGTAAATTTGGGATGTTAACATTTGCTGGGATATCTGTTTCTATCCTGAAATTAATCAATAAATCATCCTGCAAATATTTCAAATCAATATAAATATTTCTAAAACTCTGGGTTTACAAGAAGATAGTGTTTAGTTTCAGGAGGGGTGAGGTACATTTAGGAAGGTACAAGTCTTTTGCTGTTTGAGGGTTTTTGAAAATAGGCCATTTTGGGGGTTGCAAAACTTATTGGTTTAGAAAATCATCAAGAAATCATTATTAAGGTTAGTGTCTACAAATTCATTAAACCATGAAATGTATATCTAGTAGGATTGGGCAAAATTAAATTTACTATTTAAATACTTTGCCAAAATTCTTTGTAAATAAGAATTTAAATATATACTCAAAATACATTAGGTTTTGATTTGCTAAATATATATGTACTTAAAATAAGTGGAATTCTCAAAATGTACAAATACAATTGAATTATATTTAATTATCAATTACAATATATAGTACAATAAGTT